TGTTGGTGGAGGACAGGCTGGCGCCTTCGCTTAAACTAGCCCTCCTTCCCTGAAACGGCCGGAACGTACAAGACTGTATAAGCAGTGATCTAGGAAACGGAAGGGTGCAGTGGTGTAGAAGAATATCAGCGAGATCCAGAGAGGGAAGGTGCTCTTAGCCTTGCACCATCAGTAGAGGGATTTAGACTTCAACCTCTCTGAGAAAACAGAGAAGAAGACGGAGCAACGTAGAGGAGTACCAAAATGACTTATTGCAAAAACCTCAAAATTATTTGGATCTTACTGCAGAAGAACGTGGAGATTCTTACGAACCATATTTTCTTCGACAGGATTTTCAGGATATCTTGCCTTGAAATTTCGCGGTGCTACTACATATTTTTCAGGTCGACACCGGAATTGTTTCGCCCGAAGGATTTGATTTCTACCTGTGCTCACATTACGGTGTGCAAGGTACTTCACGACCAGCCAGATATCATGTACTGTGGGATGATAACGATTTCAGTGCAGACGAAATGCAAGCAATAACTTATGGGTTGGTTAAACATAATATCCCTCTACGATTACTTTGCTTGAACAGTATATTTTCAGAATGTGTCACACTTACGGGCGATGTGCTCGTTCCGTCTCCATTCCAGCTCCAGTTTATTACGCGGACTTGGTAGCCACTCGCGCTCGATGTCATATTAAGAGAAAGCTGTAAGTTGTGCGGTAGAACGAAGTAATTGGTGGGAAGTACTGGATCATCACTGAACATCATTCAGCAGTAGGGCCCCCTCCATAGTTTATCAGAACCTTGAGTTTCGTATCCCAAGCTCAATGATGTAAGGTCAAAACTGCTCCAGGAATGACAATCATATCTGGGTTCAAGGGTCGACTGCCGTCTGTGCTTGCATGACGTCTACTGAGAGAGACGGGCGGACTGCTACAAGCTGCTACTATACTTTTTACTGCAGAAAAGGCAGATGCTCACGTGCCTTCTCTCTGTATATTGTACGTTGTATGCCACATGGACTTTTGCATGGAACGCAAAACCAAGGCTCCTGAAGACGCACTGCGGTATATCCATAAACCGGGACTCGGAATCATGAGCACTGCGTCCTTTTCATTGGCGCGCACCTCCTCATTACCGTATTATGAAAAGGACCTCACTAACGTAGCCTCATTATCGTATTATGGATAGGTCGGACAAGGAAGGAAGGTCAATGCTTGTGAGTCTGCGTCAATTCGCTTCTCGCAAGATGTGTCATTCAATTGACGGATTGTTTCGCTTTCCATTTAAGTGTGTGCTCAGCTAGAAGAAAATTAATTATTACCAGATAAATAATTATTGTGCTTCTTTCCGATTTGTCGAGTCAGATGGTACGGGGGCGTCTGTTCGAACTCTGTCGTTGCTTTCTACACAACCTGATCGCAAACACTGGGTCTGTGTGCGATCACACCTTCCTACTGTCTGCACCACTCACGGACTCTACCTCGCAGCTGCCTTAACAGCACTTGAACATTCAATAAACGAACAGATCGAGCCGATAGTGTTTTTCAAATCGAAAATCAAAGACAGACCTCGCGCTCAACCAGTTGGTAGGATTTCTCACGGAACGGTATACCGTATCTAACTGCAACTTATGATAGCCGCAGAGCTCTCGTCATTCAGTGTCGATCAGCAAAAACTGGTCAGTCTTTGCAAAAGTCAATGAAGGAATCCCGCGACTTGGTCGAGTGTCGGTCTGTCTTCGAGTTCGCGCAGGTAGCGTCATTTATCGTCGGGCCCATTCTTTACCAAGCCGGATTTTTCAAGAAGACGCAATACGCCATCCAAAATGGGGACGGTCTCACATATGAATGAATCCGGGTGTAGACTGGGGCATTCTTCTCTGTGGATTCTTCAGAACGTTTTTCTTCCTAATGGGCGTCACTGCCAAGATTCAGCTTAGGCAAGCTTGCAGCGTGAGCGGCTAACTAATGAGATGAGATCTCCTCTGCACGAGACTGTAGAATGATTGCGACTTGATAGCGATAAGACTTCACTGCGAGCATGATTGATATTATGTGTGGGCGAATCGGTGAGCCTCAATTCACTCGCAACTAAAGGGGCTGGCGGTTCATTCTCACTCGACATATCATTCCTCATCTAACTCTAAGTACTATTGCGTACTCAAACATATTCCACTGAATCTGCACAAGGACTACATGCGTCATGAGGTTTGAATGTTCTTGATGTTAGCCACTTGACATCCTATAAGGCGTAATCAGTTAAACTTAGTCCTGAGTCCAGATTAGAGCACTTCGAAAATCCTTGGAACACTTCGTTGTTAATATAATCCTGAACGCTGTTTTTTTCAGTGGTGTCCACGAATCGGATGGGCTATCGGAAACTGGCTCGGTCATTTCGTCTCTGTCGTCTCTAATGTCCGTCGGCCGCCCACGTAGACGACGAGAATTCGAAGCCGGTAATGAACATCACCTTTCTGTACAAATAAACCAGCGTATACTAACGGCTGAAAACAAAGCGGTGTGGTACGATTACCACCGACTGATGGAACAGCTACTGATAGAGCACATGATCCCCTCACCCTCACTTGCAACTGCACGGAGCTTGAGGTTTAGTGAACACCACTATTGGTGAACAGTCATCCGAATGATCGGTGTATAGCGTCACTTTTGAGCAGTGGCATAGCACATTGCCTGGTTAGTTCCTGTGAGATATACAGACACAGAGTCGACACCCGCAGCGCTGAACTGAATCCTAGTGCAAATGCTGCGCACATAACCAGCTTGCAGCGCCTCTTTCGGCGCGCTCGCCGCTACTCAGATTTGATACTCTACACCCTCCATATGGTGAGGATGAACACTGACTATTCCATTCATATCATGAACATACCCATTCAAAAGGTTTGTTCGAGGTCTTCTCCTCTCGACATAGACCACCGAGAGCTCTTGGCGTTACAATAGCTGGAACGATTGAACAGCTGATGGAACCCAATAGCGGTTACGCTGTAACCGTCCATGATGACCGCGAAAAAAAAGTATGAGAGAAAATGAAACCATAGCATGTCTGACAACGCAATAAATAAAGCTCCTGTTCAGGTGATATTAACGCCAACCAGTCCAATTCTGATGCTGCTCTGCAGGAATGCGTGTCAGTCACGGACAAGTTCAAAAGCCGCATGTATTTCATTTGACCGGCGATCACATTTCTAATGTTAATCGTTCGCAATCCGGCGTATCCACTAGTTTGCTTTGTAGTCCATGTTTTATAAAGCGATTCTACGTTGTGGAATGCATAAAAGTTGGAGAATGAGGTTCATAGTATCGGTCTGTTTGCATAGCTTCTTCTGTTTCTTCAGCGTTTGTCCCGCTCTAAGGCGGGGTCCGCTCTTTGCATTACGCTACGCTACTTCTCCCGACTGTGCTAACTATCTTTCAGTCCGCATGCAGGTTGTGGAGTCAGTGACGCTTGGGGCGTCCTTTAGACCGTTTTCCGGGCACCTCGAGATCGGGTCCAGTCTTACGGACGGTGTCAGAATTAGCGCGTAGCACATGACCGTACCAACGGAGGCGAGATCACTGGATCTCTTGCGTATGTCATCATTGCGAGCGCGATCCATACGCGTGACGCCGGCCAGCGCGGCATTTTCATCTCCATTACTCCGAGGCGGGCCTCAACTTTCTTGGGCGTAGGCCAGCATTCGGTTCCGTATATCGCGACAGGTCCCAACGATGGTTTTTATAGATCTTTGACTTGGAGGCCTCTGGTATGTGTTATAGGCAAAAGAAGCCAGCTATAAGCACCTATGTAGAAGGCGCGCTCAACGGCGCGGCTACTTTCACAATCAACATCCATCAGACGTAAGTTCAACCGAGATATTTGAACTGTTGTCGTAGCGCGTTTAGCATCATGCGATTGACCCAACGAACAGGACTAAACCTGAGTCATTGTCAGGCATCGGTTTTCGATGACTTCTGTCTGAGTCGGAAGTCGCCAAGCCGCTAGACAGGTTGGCACCTGTGCTCGAGAGCATTCTTTCGTCAAAGGAGACAATCTCTAGCGGTACAGAAAGCGTCGCCATAGACGGTTTTGAAGGTTCGTGAAGTGCATCCATGAGAACACCGAACGAGTAGGGAAAGCGGCAAAGCATTGTGTAACCTCCACCGTGATAAGAGGAATTCATCGCATGCTGCTGATGTTGCACATGGCTCGTTGGGTCTGGAATAATAGGTGCGCCTCATCATGGTATTCGGCGAACGCATGTGTCGTAAGGCGTATAATAATAATTTCACGCGGAACGCGATCGAATGCCTTCTCTAAGTCAAGGAAGGCTAGATGGACATGCTTCCGCTTCTCACGATGCCTCTTCAGCAAAAGACGCGTGGCATGTATGGCGTCGATGGTGCTACAGCCAGTCACGAAGCCACACTGGTTGGTAGAGAGCTGGACGATATCACGGGTACGACTGTCAACAATTCGCTCAAAAATTTCTCATGGTGTGCGAGGAAGGGCGAATTGGATGTTAATTTGAGCAGTCTGCAGGGCTGCCCTTCTTCCACATCGGAACCGTTGTGCTTTCTTGCCACCCTTCGGGCATCTTCTTCCCTGCAACGACCTGATTGAAGAACTTCGTGAACCATTCAGCAGAATACCAGCAGTGTGACTTCCACGCTTCGGCCGAAACGTCGTCAGGGCCTATTGCATTGTCTGGATTCATCTTCTTAAGAGCTGCTTCTGTTTCTTTTGCGGTAATCTTCCGATTGTGTATTGGTGGGGCATGAGGTATGGTTGGGTGTGTACTATTTGTGGAGATTTTCTCAAAATAGTCGCGGCATCGGCTCGTCAGAAGACGGCCCTCCTCGTCGTTGATGCCCAGAAGCTTCTCTACATCTCTCGGTCTGGACGGTGACGAGCCTTGGCAAGTCGGTAGATGTGACGTTCGCCGTCGCGCGCCTCCAGCTTCTTACTGACGTCTTCAAAGTGAGCGGCTTTCGCAGCAGCCACAGCCTTCTTTGCTGCACGACTTGGCTTCCTGGTATCTTCACCAGTTGTCAGCGGACTTGTCTCCAAGAAACATGTGACAGCGTCTCTTCTTCCCCTTTAGTATGACGTCGTTTGTCCACATCCATGCCTGCTTGTCAATTCTACGTCTTCCAGGCTTCGTTGTGCCAAGTTCGGAGCGAGCGGCGTGAGCTATGGCTTCAGCGGCAATTTTCCAGGTTTTGCCGACAGCTCTGACGGCAGGCAATCGAATACGAGCGCTCACAGCTGCCTCCTTTTCTTCCAAATGCCATCACTCAATTCTGTCGGAATCACATCGCTCGACCTGCTTCGCTGGGCGGCGCGATCATCAGCGTGCAGACCAACGGGCGATATGTGTGGTATGTCTGGTACGGCACGACTTTGGCTTCTGTGATAAGCCCCTTATCGCGATGTCTCACGAGAGCAAAGTATATCTGTGATGGGGCACTTCCGCTGTAGAAGGTGATCAGCTGGGAATCTGGCGAATCAGCCTGTTTACGCGAATTTTACTGTATTCCAGCGCTATTGAGCAGAGATTATGCGCTTCTGCATAGCCAGGACACTATCGCCATCGACATTACGTGTTCCATAACCGTAAGCATCGCTAAGCGCATCTTGTTTGCGGGTAAACGCAGAAAGAGAAGTGGCTAGAGTCGACTTGCTTGACAGCTAGACACAAATATTCTATGATGCGGTCGTCGAAACGTTCCACGTTAGCTATCGAGTCACGGGAAGAGACGATCACGACCACCGTGGGTAGTCTTTGGCTTGCTACAAAGCATGGCTTTGAGGCCATGACCAGTGTCACTGGACTTACGACTATCCTTTTCCTTTCACCGCCACAACGATTCATCTCGCGCTGCACTCAACACCTGTTACCCAATTCGCATCGCATCGTCCCGTCAACGTCCCCAAGCTTAACGTTGCAGTGCGAACTTTCCATCCACTGCGGGACTTTTGGACAAGCTTAGTTGCCCCCCGATGCTGTCCTTGCATCGGAGACTCCACTTTTCACACTCGCCGGGCCTTTGCGAGTGACTGGCGCTCCCGCGGACGCCGTAAGCATTTTCGGGCGGAAACTTGTGCGATAGTCAAAAGATAAGTGATTGACTCGAGTGTTCTTCGGACGCATGTCACCCTCGGTTCGCATGTCCGCGTTTAGCTCAACTCGAAGTAGCGAGCAGCTCCCAATGGCACCATGTGGGGGAGCGAACCTCACCACCGTCTGTTGCATAGCTTGACACATGGGAATTAATTTCCTAAAGTTATCAGTGATTACGATTGGGTGACGATTATATTATAGGCCGCGGTCGCAATCTCGCCCTACGACTCTATCGTTTGTTGCGGCATTGAAGGGGGATTCAATACGCGGTCCGGCGTGTGGATGTCCACGGTCCCGCCGTCCCGTCCAGAATCGTTCGCTGCCATTTGTTGAGCCAAGTACCGACAGAATTGGTACAAACAAGTGGCATAGGAACGATATGATACATTTACATGTCACTCCGCTATTTTGGAAACACACGGTGGAGAAACAGGCTTTGGCCACCGCTGTCAAACTCAGTCCACGCTCGACACGCCTATTCGTGCCACGCAGCGAACTGGACTATATTGTACGCCTAGAAAGGGGAAAATTGACACAATTTTGAAAACTTCCTGGAAGCTGAATAGGCTGTTCTGCGCTTCAAAGGAAGGTTGTGATTCAGGATGGGTTGATTGCAATCAAACTGAATGAGAGAAGGGGTTCGAGGTTTACAGTGAAAATATCATGATCCATAAATTCCCGTGTGAGGCACGGGAACCTGTGGAGCTGCACAATGTGCGCCACCTAACTTGTACCTTTAGGCTTCGTTCATAGTTTGCGTCAGCGTACGCTAACGCTTCCAGCGTTCGGCATCGGCAGTGGCAAGGAGGATAGATATCGATCTAGCGTATGCCACCTTCACTAGCGTGCGCTAGCGCAACGCTAGCGAGCAGTTACGCTAGAGTATTCTGGCGTTACGCTAGCGTAGCGAGGGCAAGGATCGTATAGGTATCGATCTAGAGTTTATAGCGTTTCACTAATGTTTGCAGCGTTTCGCTAGCGTTTCACTAGCGTTTGCAGCGGCGGGGAGTAGAGACTATGGGAGAGTAGGAGAGTAGAAAACAGTTCGATTAGGCGTGCTGTGAAATTGCGGCGTGTGTAGCCGCACCGCAGTACTGATACCGTACATTAAATTGGTTAAATTGCATAATTATGTGGTTTCAGCTGTTGGAATGGAATGTTTTTTTACATTGTCGCACCGGAATTGAACTATGAAAACATTGG